GCCCTTTACTTTTAGACTTTATTTATTTACAAAGAGCTTGATTCTTGTCTAGAACCGGTTTGAGGTAAACATTTTTATAATTTCCTTTTTGTTGGTGTTGTGGGTCTGTAAACCAACCCTTGTTCAATATCACAATAGTTAGTGGAAAACAAATGAGTCAACGAGTCACCTTGTGGATGGCAAGTGTCTAAAGCGTAATTTGGGGAACGAGGGAGTGGGGGAACTATTTATGATAGTGATTTGTTTAAGTGTGTGGAAGTGTCAACTGAGGTCTTTAGTTATTGTTATTTGCTGAAGAAATATTAGTGATTATTTTATATCAATAAGCTACCTGTTGTCCTCTAAGGATTTAGATTATCTTGTTTTGTAAACTCAGAAAGTTTGTAATTTTAACACTAAGAGAGTAATTATTCATTTGTTTATTTAAAAATGTTTATTGGCCAAAACCGGTTTGGCTCAGTGGATAGAGCATCCGCCTGCAGACTGAAAGGTCCCTGGTTAAATTCCGGTCAAGGGCAGGTACCTTGATTGCGGGCACATCCCCAATAGGGGGTGTGCAAGAGGCAGCTGATTGATGATTCTCTCTCATCAGTGTTTCTAACTCTCTATCCCTCTCTCTTCCTCTCTGTAAAATATCAATAAAATAACAAAAAATAAAATAAAATGATGACATTAATTAAAAAAATGTTTATTGAATGATTATCATGTGCCAGACCCCTTTCTGGACATTGAAGATGTTTAGCATCAAACAAAAAAGGCTCTTGCCTTCATGAATTTTATGATTTTTTTTTTTTGGTAAGAGAACATAGATGAACAGGAATAGAAGGGAAATAAATTAATGTTAATGACGTTGGAGAAAAGTTATTTAGGGAAGTGGGCTGGGGATTCTGGGAACAGAATTGTAACAGTTTTAAATAGAGTGAGGGAGTGAGATGCACAGAGATAATGATTTCTTGAAAAACTAGGCAGAGAGAACAGCAAGTGTAAAGGCTCTGAGGCAGGAGTACGGCCTAGCCTGTATAAGAAATAGGAAAGGATGTCAGTAGGGAATGAGGTGAGAGATAATGGGCGCCAAATTATGTAGATTCTTTTATGCTTTTTTAAAGATTTTGGCATTTACTCTGAGATGAAGAGTCATTGGGAGATTTGGGGCTCAGATGTTACCTTACACATGATTTATGTTTGATTATCCAGATCACCGGCTGCTTTGATGAGAAAGGAGTGACATAGGGCAGGATAGAAGTTGGGATACCAGTACTGACTACACAAAAAGTTCAGTTGAGAGATGATCAAGTTACTGTTTTGGTCAAGTCTCAATGTAGGTGATGAGGAGGGGTCAGATTCTGGAGATATTTTGTTGTTAGACAATAATATTCGTTGATGGCTTAGAGAGAGGGTAAATGCTTAGACTTTAGTGATCTGTGAGAAGAGGAGAAACAAGCCAAGGAGGCTGAGAAGGAGTGTCTAGTGCAATAGGATGAAGCCAGGAGAGTCTTTGTTCTCTGGAAGCCAGGTAAATAGAGTGTATCAGGGCTTGAGGCCCTGTGCTGCAGATGATATGTCGACAACTGACTGGCCTTTTGGTTTAACAGTATGTAGGTAATTGGTGACCTAACGTTTCAGGATATGATGAGGAGCAAAAGTCTAATTGGAGTATGTTCCATTTGACTGAAGAATACAAGTAGATGGAGTATGGACAGCACTTTTGTCACCTCTTGCTGAAAAGGGAATAAAAAATATTGGCCATAACCTGGTCAAAAGTTTGTTGTTGCTGTTTTTCATTTTCTACTGATGGGAAATACTAACACACACACACACACACACACACACACACACACACACACTCTCACGTGCACACAGGAATGGCTTTGCTTTATTGGAAGGAAGAAATTAGGAAGTTGATGATATAGGAGAGAGAAGTAAGACTCCCTACTATTGTGTATCAAAGGGGAAGTGTTAGTTAGACTTGATGTGGTCCCAAAGAGTTCAAGCACAGTAGAAGGTTGGTGGTAAATGTGGATCTGGAAGTTCTTTCTCATTGCGAATTTAGGAATCAAAGCCATTATAGAGTGATTCAGATTTTGTGTGGCTTTTGATACTTTTCCTGCATGATGCTGTTCATTAGGCAATCTACCAGGAGTCCTGAGAAGCCATAGGAGGACTATAGCCCTGCTGGTTAATTTTTTCCCAGGCATTACTCCTTAATCTGATTTGTGTTACACTTAGAGATTCCTAAAACTCTTTTGGGGCTGTCTGGAAAAAACATTATTTCTCATTGATCTTCAAGCAAAAATTTACCCAGCACAATTTTCATGTTAGGTGTAAGAAAATCAACGTAAAGACAGGATTAGTCCGAAGAGGTAAAGCCAATTATCTAGGCAAGTCTGGAATTGGGTCTGTGTGGTGTTCTAATTTATAGAATTTCCCCTTTGACAATAGCACTGACTTTATTTTAAATTGGAGCAAACAAAGCATGAAATAAATAATAAAAATGTAACATGTCGGGGTCAAAATGAGGACTGTCTAAATTTTTATTTAAATTGTGATTTGTTTAAAACTGATACGTGAAATTATTTTATATTGCAGTTACAGTTCACTGAAATATATAAAAGCATTTAGTCTTAGCTGAATTTATATGAAAATAAGGTTCTAAAACAGGATCCATTGCATATTTTAGATTTCTGATATTTTTAGACATCTAAAGTGCATTAATGTACAAAAAATGGATTGAGAAAAACATTAGTACTCTAGGTTTCTGTTTCCAATTCTCTCTGGCCTTTTGCTATTTCTGCTTCTTTATGGCATTACTTGCCTATACCTGGTAATTCAAAGTGGATAAAACCATCATCTGAAACATTTTCATGAAATTGTCAGCAAAGGGTAAACAAGTAAGGAGGAATTAGGCAAAATATATCAATAAGCATTACATAAAAGAGGAAATATGTATTAGCCAAAAAACTTGAAGAAATACTTAGTATCATTAATTAGCAAGAAAATACAAATTGAGACCACAATTAGATGCCATTTTACACCCAAAATTAAAAAGTTGGCATGACCAAATGCTGCAGATATGGATCAATATGAAATACCTATTGCTGGTGGTATTATAAATTACTAAACACATTTTTAAAAAAAAATAAAAATTGCCATCCTCATGAAAAATTGAACATATGCATATTTTTCAACTTCTACACACTTTACTTAAAGAGAAACTTTGGCACTGTGTGATCAGGAGATGTGTATGAGAGTTTTTGTAACAATGTTCATAATAGCAAAGAAAAAAAACACAGGACAAACAAGATGCTATTGTAAAAAAAAGAATAATTCTATTACAGTATGATCACAGTGCAGAATTATTCTGCAATGAAAATGGAAAAATGTTTGAACTAAAACTACATGCAACAACATGGATGCGATCTTGAAAACATAATTTGAATGGAAAAATCAGACCCTAGCCAACAGGTGCTGTTAAATACCACTTTTAACAAAATGATATTGTTGGGGGGTCGGTACATATATAATATACTTTTTAGAAAGCAAAGGAGTGATAAACACAAATTTTAAGATAACAGTTACAGGGACAGAAGGGATAAAAGAGAGGGAGCATGGGATAGAGAGGAACAACTCCATAGAATATTACCAATAACCTATATTTAGATTCTTGAGTTGGGTAACAAGTACCTGTATATTCATTCTGTTGTTTGTTTTGAGTTTAAAACATGTTACAAATAACTGTTGTATGTAGCAATTAATGTAGAAAAGGCATATTTCGAGGTTACAGTTTAGGAGACATTTTATCACTTTTACCTACTCCTTCACTGCTACTTGAATTTCTAAAGTCACTCAGTACTTCACTTGAGGTATCTTGTATTAAAGACTTCTCTCTTATTAAGGCTGTGTCTGCCATCTGACAAGTCACTCAGTAACAACTTGTTGAATGAGTAACCAAATGAATGATTTGGGAAAAAGATTCAGGAAGTTTCTTAGGAACCACTAAAAGGAAGATTTTAAAAATATTTTCCTTCCATCTGGGTTCTTATAAAATAAAAAAGTGATATAGCAAAACTAGGTTATTGTTGCATAGGTTTTTGAGTGATAATTTACTACATTTGAAGGCAATATTACTATGTTTAACCTATTGTAATAATATCATCAAAGAGATGAACAAATATATAACAAAAACAAATAGTTGATCAGCAAAGCATAATGTTGCTGAAAGATGAAACTATTCTTACGTAAAATGTTTCAGAGTTAGAAGATCCATGGGAATTAATTCCAGCTCCTTATTTTGAATAAAAGCTTTGAGAACAAAAAAACAATTAAATCCTAAAACTTGATGAGAGCTGAGTTAAGAAAGATCAGAACCTATGATTCAAATACTAGTGTTTTCATATTAAAATATTGAATGGTAAATTAAAAATATTTAAATATCCTATACAAGACAAGTTAACTCAAGGTTGGTTTATAACCATTGAGTGAGGAAGCAGTGTTTTCTGATTTTAATTTAGAGCAGATTAGTTCAGCTCTATAGCACATTTATCTTCAGATGTTTGACAAATGCACTTAAAGAAATGACAGGAATTTTTTTTCTCTCTTTTTTTTCTTTTTCATATTTGGATTTCTAAAAAGAAAGTGTTTTGTGATGTACACATTAATTCTGGACTGAAAGTGGGAAGAATTCAGTTCTGAATCTGGCTTTGCTGCTAAATAACTGTGTTGTCATTGATTCTTCGCGTAAGTTTTTCGGGTCTGTTTCCTCACCAGTAAAATGAAGACGCTGAACGAGATGGTCTGTAGAGACCATCATTAAATGATTCTGTGTTCTTTATGGCTATTGAATAGCAAATTTTACCTGCCTAAAATAAAGTGCTGTGTGTTCCACTATTAAACCATTGGCAGCACATGAAGAAATAGAGAATCAGTAGAAAATGAATAACTCATGATGCTGAAACATATTCTGAAAATAAACTGGATTTTCTTTTTCTTTTTTTTCATCATAGATATAATACTTGTCCACATCTGCTTCAGGAGGAAAGTGCCTGCTGCAGGTTCATGCCAGCCCAGAACAGAGAATCAGGTCAGTTTTAGGATTGCTATGTCTGTTGAACAAGGAACAGAATCGTTATAGTCTTTGCTGTACCATACCATTGCTCTGGAGAAAGGCCTCTGAACTGTGACTCAAGAGTGGGTTTCAATCATTCCCTCCGATGGCTGGGTAATCTCGGATAAGCCTCCTTTTCTGGATGGCTTTTACTTTTCTGCACCCAAAAAGGATATGTTAGAATAAATTACCTCAGTTTCAATTCTGGCTGGAAAGCATTATTACTTTTGTTGTAGTTACTTACATAGAATAAAATCATGTTTTTAATGCATTATTTTCTTCTTTATTTCCCTAGAAAAATCTAATTGTAACCACAGGCTTTGTAACTCTTTATTGTATTTTATCTCCAGTGACTAGTGCAAATGATGAAATATGTTGTGAGACATTGGAAAGTACTATTGATACCTAGTTGCCTTAGTTTTAGTCTTTGACTTCGCTTTATTTTTGTTGAGAAACTTATTTTTACATGAAGTAATTAGTCCTTCAAAAATGTTCTGCAACTTTGGAGGAGATGACTTTTTGACCATGTTAGTTCTCTTTTGATTGCAAGGGACTGGCTTCAAATGAACTTCAGCAAAAAGGGGAAGTTATTTGTTTTTTGGGTGTGTCAGAGGGGATGCCAAAGGATCCAGGGCCAGAGGTGCAGATGGCCTGCCTGAAAAGCACCCAGGGACCAGGTGCAGCCAGTCTCCCTGGAACTCTCAGGGGTGTGCAGCTCCTGCGCATCTGTCTCACTCTCTGCAGACTAGCTTTCTCCATTCTTGGCCAAGGGAAGCATGTTTGCCACCACCTCCCAAGCTTTATATCTTGTAGTTCAGACGCCCAAAGAAAGGCTAATTTAAGCACCCAATCCCAGATCTCCCAGAACAGACTGATTCTTTAGTCAGGTACTTGTGAACAAGCTGTGACTCAGGGCACAATCATTTTTAAAATTTTGTTTGCCATGGTTGTCTTGCCATCTTTGTTTCAAAGCCTATTTTCTAACTTATTCCTACTAAAATGCAGATAACTAATAATATCATATTACTCTTTCCAGGTATATTTGTATTTTAATTGGTATCAAATGTTAAGCTCAAGCAGTATTTCCCAAACTGTGTAGAAGTGAAATCTTCTGTTCCAGTATATAAAAATGATTAACATAGAGGCAAGAAGAGCATCAGAAATTGAAAACAGCATTTGAGTGTTCAGGGAGTGGAAGAAAATAGGTAACCATATTTTTGTGGTTAGAGGAGGAGGGCAGATAGGCAGAAATACAAAGCTTGGATATAGCAAGTAAAGGAAAAGCTTTTCTATTTGACTATTTAAGAAAAACATTTGAAGGTGGGAGAAAAAAATAGGTTAGTCCCAGCTTACCTACTAACTATGATTTTGGAGAGTTATAAATTATTCTCTGGACACCTCAGTTTACTAAATCCTGGCTACTTACTAGCTTCTTACTTAACTTCTAGACGTCAGTTTCTTCATCTTAAAAATAGAATTGATGGTGCATGTACCTCATAGGGTTCTTGTGAGGAATTAATATATGCTCAGTGTTTAAAAGCAACAGCAGGTTTTGAAATGAGTAGATTAGATTATATGATTGCAGGAGTCCCGGCTAACTAAAATATAAATAAATCTGTGGTCTAAGATTTTCTGATCTGGACTAATGTCTTTTTCCAGAATAAAAACTTGAGACTTAGGATTTTTGGTCATCTACTTGAATCCTGCATTGAGGCTAATTTAGGTACAGCCAATAAAAATTATTTTGAATGAAATATATGTATGTATTAGTTCTCTATTGCTATTGTACATGTATTAATTTGTTAGGGCTCTCAGAGCAACTTAACACATCAGAAATTGTCTTAGTCCCAATTTCCCCTTTTTATAGACACCAGTTACATTGGCTTGAGACCCGCCCTAATGACCTCAGTTTAACTTGTGTACTTCTGTAAAGATCCTTGATTGCTTCTGTAAAGATCCTATCTCCAAATAAGGTCACATTGAGGTGCTGGGAATTAGAACTTCAATATATGAAAATCAAGGGGAATACAATTCTTAGTGCTTGGTTGATTGATTATACACTTGATTAGCATATTGACTTTATTTTTGAGGGGTAGAATTGAGTTTGCATAAAAGGATATGAGTTTGGAGCCATTGCTTAAGTTGTTGACTTAGAGAAAAGGGCATGGAGGAATTCAGTGTGCTATTTTTGCTGTAGGTCTGAAAAGATATTTTTGTAATCACTAAATAATTTTTTGAAATTGTGAACAGTAGGATGTCAACTTTCCATTTCAGTTTTAAACTTTAGCCACTAGCCATTCTTTTGTATTTGGTTTTGACCTCAGGGAAGGGAGTGGGAGGACAGATACCTGTTCCTTTCATTGTTTTGTAAGGGATGTATTCCTTGGTGTTAATGTTATTCATGGGAAACTTGCCCTGGCTCCTCAGTTTTCTGAAGACTCTACTAAAAGTCATCTTTAAGGGTATTAATCTGGTTGTGAGATGACTGACAATTTGGTAGTATCCTAAGAAAATTAATCTTCTCTTTAATGGAAAAAGGAACTATGTCTAAGTTGAGAGAAACATGGAATTTAGGAGGAAGTGTGCTACTTATGTACATTTTGCTCCTAATTTGGTCAGACATCTGTTTTACCTTTACACGCATTTTTTATGTGCTTTCTATAAATGAAAATGAAAAAGGCTGCTGCTCTCCATAAGAGTTTGCAATTGGGAAGTGTTCTATAACATAAGTGACCCGGGAGAGGAAGTGGGGGAGTCAGAAATTTAAGCTCTCAGGCTGTTTCATTATCTTCCTTATGCATAGTGGAGGAGGAACCTCAAAAAGACTAGGGAATCACATTTTGACAGTAAAGATTCTGTATTTTTTGACTGAATGAAGGACTGTTGTGAATGTCTATATGCTGAAGGAGAATGTGAGTTACAGAATGTATAGGGAAGGAAGTACAGGTCCTTTTAAAAATTTATTTATTTATTACTTAAGAATTTTGGGACTTCTTATAAAAATTAAGATATTTTGGTTCTTCTCCCCTCCAAATAGCTGAAATTATTTATAATGGTCTGTCCTCCCTCCTTTCCATCTTCCTTCCTTCTCTTATTACCTTCCACATAGTTTTTGTCCTTTCCATTTGGTTCTTTTATATCTGGTTTTATTACTTATTTGTAAGTCATGTGTCATGTGTTCATGATGCAATAGTTGTTTTTCTCTTTACAGTGTCTTGAGTTCTTTCTTAACTCTATATGATTGCCTACTCCAGATGATGTTGCAAAAAGTTACATAACAATGAATTTTCATAGTTATCTCTGAACTAGTCATGGTTCAAAAGCCAAACTTTTTGATATCAGAATTAAGATTTGATCTGTTTTTGTAAAATCTTCAAAATTTTTACTTTCCTTCAACATCAATAGATTATCCTGTGGCTTTGCTGTGTCTGTGTGGGCTTTTTCTATGGTCAGGGATTGTTGAGGAAAGCTTTACAAAATGTTATCAGAAGGCAAGTTATTCCTCATGAAAGAATACTCTTAGTTTATTGTTTATTGTTTTGAGGCCCCACGATAGAAATTATGTTTTTTCTTAATGTAGGTTTACATTTAAGTCTTGTGGTGGTGGTGGTTTTTTTTTCGGTTTTTTTTTTTTTTTTTTGTATCACACATTTTGATTTTTTTTCATTTTCTGCACAGCAAAAGAATGACTCGGTTCAAGGAATTTAGTTTTATGATGTCACAGATTATGAAATCTACCCTCTTACTCTAATAGCTAACAATAGTAAAAATAATATTAATAGTGAATACTTACTGTTTCCTAGGTTTTTTCATAATATTACATCATTTATTTTTCATAACAATCCTACAAGATTGATTCCATTATCATACTAAGTTTATGCTATTAGTAACAAACAGGCAGGAGAAGTTACAAGGTCACAGGATTAGGAAATGACAGAACCAGGATCAAACCTAGGAGTCTGTCTCCAGGACTCTGGCACTTAACTGCCCTCCTGCACAAAAAGAGTCATTATATTTTTCTTTTCTCTAAAAGAATATGATACATTGTTGACATATTAGAATATATGTTTGATTACACTCATTATATTTAAACATGGATTTTAAATGTTTTATTCTGTTGCTGAAAAAGTAAGCAAATAAAAAATAAGAAATATTTGGAGAAGAATAACTTGTTCTATCTTCTCAGGTAACCCTGTGTAAGGTTAACATCCTATTTTGGCGAAGAATATATTGAGTTATAGTTAAATCCCAGGTTTTGCTGTGTCCTAATCATATTTTTGTTATTTAATATGCTAATTTAACTTACTTTTTCCATTGGAAGTTCTTTACCTAAGTAGATGTACATATTTACCTTTTTTTAAGGAAATTTTTTGAGAACAAATATCCTGGTACCAAAAACTATATAACTCAAGTACAGGATGTACAGCCAGGCTTCCATGGAACTGAGTGCTTTTAGGCACTTATTCTCTATTTCTTTTTCTGCTGCTGCTTGTACTCTTGTTTTTGTTTCTCTGCCAAATGATTTTCTCAGCTTATCAGTGGACAGTGGTCAGTTGGGGCTGTTGATTTTAGCTTTTGATGGTCGTATTCTAAATTCTAACTTGCTGGAAGAAGAATTCATCTGTCTCCTGTTCCGAAGGCTGTGCAGCACTACCCAGTCATGTCATTTGAATAACCTTCACAACCAAGTTGCCTTTTCAATAAGTGCGGAAAGCACAACTTCTCTAAGAAGGGCCTATGTGTAGGAAGAAAGCATCTTTAGTATAGCAGATGAAGCAAATAATTATCTATGAAAATATTTTTGAATTTTAAATTTTGATACATTTTTTAAAATATATTTTATTGATTTTTTACAGAGAGGAAGAGAGAGGGATAGAGAGAAACATCGATGAGAAAGAATCATTGATCAGCTGCCTCTTGCACAACCCTACTGGAGATGTGTCCGCAACCAACGTATATGCCCTTGACTGGAATCA